GCTTTTTATTATTTTATTTTTATAAATTACCAATCCAAGAATAAAAGAAAATCATTTTTTATGCATAAATTATTGACGGATCAACGGATTCGATAGACTTTTTGATAAATCCTACAAGTCAATATATCCTTGTGTGTAAAAGACCAAATAAATCTATTGAACATTGAAAGATAATTCAAATGAATTTCCTTCCTTTCTAATGCAAGATCTCATGTGTTTTTGCAAATCTCTCACAAGCAACCAGGTTGATGATGGAAAACTTGAAAGTGAAAATGACAAGATATACTGAAACCAGAAATTCCACCACTATGTGGTCCATGTCTTCGGCCCCACACTGATCATATTGACCGGCACAAACATAAGTAATTCAACCAGTACGTGGTCCATTTTTTCGGCACGATAAGATGATATTGACCGGCACAATACCCATAGGTGCCATTGTATAGTACACTGCAGTCCACAAATTTGAAATTACAGCCCCTGATAGATAGTCTATTAGTAGCCCCCTACAAATTACATCCCTAATAAAGAATATCTCCGTATTTTTTTAGGGAGAATGAAGGTTCAGCCCCAGGGTCAGAATTTTTAGGTTCAAAAGTATATTTGGGGTCGGTGTTAATTCGGAATTAATGTCAATTCATGAACGGGTATGAGTGAATAGAGTGTGGATTTTTGACTTTTTGAGTCTACAAATTTCGGGTGGGTATGGGCATCAATTCCAAGTTTGGCACCTACCCCAAATGTACTTTGATCCTACAAATTCTGTCCTTGGGCTGAACCATCATTCTCCCTAAAAAATATACAAAAAATGATAATCTGTTAAATGGTCCAATAATTTAAGGGGTCATTTGGCATTTTTTTTGGAAAAATCTTCTGGTAGTTCTAACAATTAAAAGAGGCATTGAGCTTTTGCATTAAGATCTAAGCAGTCTGAAGTCTGTTTAATTAATATGTGTCTTTCTGTGTGAAAACAAATAGAAAAAAAAATCACAAAAGCTCCATTTAGAGCTTCCCAAAAATCGCCCGATTTAGGCTTCTCACGTCTTTTCAATGCATTGGCTTTTAATGGCTAGACCTGCCACAAAGCAAACGGGAAAAGACCAGATCACAATTTATGATAAGTATTTCCTAGGTCACATTTACCCAGGTAAGTGTATTTTGTCCAAGTAAGTTTTATGTATTATCATTTTTATCCTTGTAGTTTTTTTCTCTTTTAAACTTTTTTAATGAACAATTTTGTCTCATTAGTTACATTTTAATATCCCCACCCCCCGGAGTGGGAAAGTAACGTACCCACCACTAGATGAGTATCACTTACCTAAGTGGTGCCCAAGGGAAAGTTGTTTTACCGTACAAAAGCCACGTTACTGAAACACAAATGTAGAAAAGTTAGTCAACTCCCAAAAAACCCATCTATTTGCAGTATAAATTTATTGATTAAATTACTTAAAGTACCCCTAAGGTATCTAAAAATTACATAAAATACTCTTAACGTTTTAGAACCTACTTAAATTATCGGTGAAATTTTTAGAAATTCACTTTTCATTACCTCTTCAATTAGATTTGACCAAAAAATAATCTTGCTCTTAACTATTCTTCAAATTTTCAAAAATTATACCAGACCAAAGGGGTAGCTGGAGGGCTGAAAACAATACCACATAGATAGAATAGTAGAGTTTGGATTTCCTCTTCACTAGGGCTGTTCACAAATAAAACCGACCAACCCGGCCCGACCCAATCTAAGTTGGCCGGTTTTTCTTCACTATCGATCGGTTTCGGGTTGCAAAGATGAACAAACCGAGTTATGTGAAAAAATATCTGTTAAATATAGATGTTTTAGCTTTAAATAATAAATATATCTGAAAAAACATATGTTTTGAAATATGTCAGATATATATTACTAGAAATTTGAAAATATATATTTCGATATATTTGTATATATGTTTTGGTTTTAAATATATATTTCCAGAAAAAATATTCTGAAATATTATATATAATATTAGCACTTTGACTTCATGTGCATTGCACAAACTTGGAGTTGGTTGAAACCCAAATCGACTCAAACCAACCAGGTCGATTTTACTTAATAGGTGGTCGGTTTTGGTTTGGTCTATAGGTAACCCGACTAGGTCGGGTCAGTTGAAAAAACACTACTAAACCGACCCAACCCGACCTGTGAACAGCTCTACTCTTCCATACTTGTATGTATGTTTTCATTCATGGGGACATGTTTCCAATGCACAGGTGCAAGTGCTATGAGGCAGGTGTGAGGAGGATTCTATGAGGAGAAAATCTGGATTCAAAATAGTACTAACATAACAGGCATGAGAAAATAATTGAAACAAAGCAGAGAAAGAAATCAGCATATACAATAAGGGATGTCCAAAGGAAACGCAAATCATGAAGCCTCTTATATAAGTAGTGACTGCCTAGATGATAATATCGTTCAGTGGCAAATAATTTGGGCAGGTCCATCCTGAGCCCAAACCGTCCCAACCTGAAATTTTACACGGATTGGGCTCAGGCCCAAGAATTTGGGCTTTTTTTATATATTTACATATATTTATGCAACTATACACATTTATATATACATATGTATATATTTATATGTATATTTGCATATATATATATATATATGATATTCAAAAACCTTAGGGGCTGATTAAACTATGATATCGGAAAGACATCATATTTAAAAAACTTGTGACCAATAAACTGGTATCATAAATGTAATAACCAACCAGACGGTATTTATCCAAATTCATTGATGGATTTGATTGATCAAAACTCTTCTGGTACCATGTCTTTTGGCATCATAGATTTTTCCCTTTAGGTAATTTACCTTTTTATTTCATATGTTATTTTGTTTGTTTACAATGTAAAGAAAAATCTATAATATCATAAACACATGATAGGAAAAGAGCTTTGACCAATTAAAACATCCCATGAATTTTCATTTTCATGAATACCACCTGGTTGGTCACATATGGCTTTAAATTTGTTCGGTATCATGTCTTTTTCAGTATTATAGTGAAACCCTTCTTATAAAATAAAATAAAACTCTAAAGCAAAATAGAGCAAACTCCAAAGCAAAGAAAAGGTAAACCCACATTTGCATTTTTCACACTTGTACTTTGGTACATTTACATTAATGCAAAATGTAATTAAATCTTGTGTGAATAATTGACGCACCGAAAGAAATAATTAAAAGTTGAAGTTTATTTGGCTGGATTTCAGTACAAAGTGGGTGGACTTTCTGCCCGAAGTCACTTCAAATTCCGTCTCTTAATTGATTCCTTGATATCTATTAAAGTTGAGAAATGTAGATAAGCAAGCACGGAGAACCGCGTCAGTTGGTAGGACTTCAGAAGTTTCTCCTTTTTTTAAGGGTTGGACTACATTATTTGGGTCATTTCCTACAACCACCGAACAATGTCATTAATGTATTTTCATATATAGAATTGTTGATTTGAAGCTTCATTTTGGAGTTTTTTGAAATGGGTTGATATTTTACAGTGCTTAATGGTGTCTATGTGTTATAAATGTCTTTATTAAATGTATTTTTCGCTTTTGCAATCATATAAGTACAAAATGTTTACTGAATAAACATAAACAAAACTAAACACCTTCAGAGTTTTATATTGATACTTCATATGAATCTTATATATACATCTCAGCTTGCATTAGGAACATCTTCCATATTTGTCAAGAAAAGATGATCTGAATATACGGCTGGGATGGGTTGTTGTATGCGCTCTGTGGGGTGCCATGTTAATTCCAATTATGGAGGTGATCATGCTCAGCTACATGGTATATTTGCTATGAATCTTGAATCTCTCTATTGCTCGAACTGCTTCTAACATCATGTAAAGGTTATAACTGTATACCCAGATAGTTGGGACTAAATTTATGTAATGGCCTTTTATCTAGATTAATAAATGTGTATAATAATTTCAGATTATAATGATGATGATGATGAAGACACCTTTTGAAGTTTTGGATTTCAGTTGTTCCCTCCCACCATTAGCATATTATTAAAACACCTTTATAGTGCAACCGTTTTACTTAAATGAACTTTCATTATGAATCATCATTTGTATTTTTGTTTGGGAATGGCCACATGATCTCTTAAAATCATGGTTTAAAGTATTGATACGATACGTTTCGAAATGCCTATTTCCAGGTGTTTTGGAATCCTAACTTGTTTTTAATAATAAAAAATATATTTTTAGCTTTCTAAAAAACCAAAATTTGAAAAAAAAAAAGAGTTTTGGCCGTTTTTAAGTACCGATACGATATTGCCAATATGTGTATCGTATCGATACTTTGAACCTTGCTTAAAACGAGTGCGAGATCAGCTTCTGTCAAGGCAAGCCTATGCGCACACCATAAAACACATAAACAGGGAGATATTCTCAAATGCAAGGCTGTAAAGGCTACTTGAACAGACTTTGCCCTGACTGAAGCCGAATTCAACGAGTACAACATGAAAAGGCATGAATTGAGGGAGTTGACATTGGTGCCCCACAGCACATCCCAACTATGTATTGGACACATCTCCCAATGACAAATATGGAAGATGTTCCCAATGCATACTAGGGTGTACATGGTGGAGTATCTGTGGGGGGTGCCCTATGCGGGCTGATGTAATTTCAAATTCAGGGTTTTTTATTCTAAAAATAGTCCTAATAGCTCTTTTATAATGAGTTCACATCTGTGCCCCACAATGTCCCATAGTGCATCTCCGCCGTACATTGGGAACATCTCCTGATGATGGGGAGATGTTTCCAATGTAGGGCGGGAATATACTGTGGGACGTTGTGAGGTACAGATCTGAACTCTCTTATAATTTGGTCTGATGAGAAAGGCATAAAACATTTATAATGCTAGAACCGCCAGGAATAATAAAAAACCTGAATCACCTTTTCGGTTTTTCCATTTATTTTAAGAGATCACTTTATCATCCCCAAATGGAAATATAAATGATTCCTCACGAAAGGTTGATTAAATAAATGGTTGCAAATTATAAGCGTATTTTAATAATACACAACCATAGAGTAGGTTTAAGTAAATAACCCTTTTTTTCTATGATTACATCCTGAAACGACTTGCGACCAACTTTCCATGCGTGTAGTTTATTTGTGGTCAATCGCCAACAAATATGTCTAATTCCAATCCGAATAATTTAAAAAAAAAAAAAAAAACAATTCCACAAATCGACAGCCCAACTTCCTTCCTGACTTTGTCAGCCTCTTGAGTCTGGACCTGGACTCAGCCTTTGATTCCTTTCTTTGCCGGGCTTTAACCGGACCTGGGCCCACATCCTCATAGCGAACCTGATGGTGGGCCATGGTGATTAATCTCCACGATATGGGCCTATCTGCCTAACCCATTAGGATGTTAAAACAGATAAAGAGTTTATTTATTACAATTTTCAAGGTGATCCATGGATCAAATCCATGATAATGGTACAAACTACAAAGGCCTCCCATTACTTAAAAAAAAACCTTCAAATTCTGTTGTCTGTTGAGTTGGGCCCACGTCAGATGAGCCCACTCAAGAATGGATGCGAAGGGCATCGTCGATCTGAGATGAGAGCACTGGGAGGTGGCCCTTCTCCTGCAGGCTCTTCACCGTTTCGCAGAGACACTGCGTCACCGGCGTGAACTCAAGCCCCAGGTCCCTCAGCCTCTGGTTCGTGAACTTGTAGGGCTTCGCCCTTGGCTTCACCTCATCTGAGCACCTGTAGTGAACAGTCCACACATCAACATCAGGGTTTGGTACTTTGATAAGAAACCACTCCAGTAATGTAAACAGAATCCAACGGGGGACCATTTGATTTGGACTGGTGGTCCAATATCCGAATAGGCGGGGCCCAGTTGGAACTGTGGGTGTTGGTGGTGATGACGGAGGGAGCTACATCGGGGGTAGGTGGGGATGCTTTCCCTCCAAGTGTTTTTGGATACTACTTTAATTGATTGATTGGAGTTTAGAACCCAACGTCAAAGACCATGAAGGTAGTAAAAGGTAGGTTTACCTACTACTGGAAATAGAAGGCCTTCTTCTTTGTTTTGTGCTTGTTCATCAAGCTCCCATTTTGGATTATTTCCTTGTGTGAAAATTCAAAAAGACCAAGACAGATAAAGGGGTATTATTGTCTTTTTATGAAAATTTCTTTTGGGTTTAATTAATTAACTAAAAAAAGATGGAATTTACCTATAATTGAAAAATAGATGGAATTTACCTATAATCGAAAAGATGGAGATTAGAGTTGGGAGCCCATTGGGCATAATGATGATGAAGATGATGGCTTTAAATCCAAAGGTTAGAATCTAGAATGTCTTCAGCAGTTCGATTCATCTCTACGCTTTGTCCAATACCCGAGACCCGAGACCCGAACCCACCACGATGAGATCCAAAGAGAAAGAGATTCTAATATTTTATTCTGTTTTACTGTAGTAGTAGGTAAAAGGATCCATTTGCCATCCAAGTGGAAATGATCCTCAGCCCATAATGGGCTCTGGGAATCAGTGCATCAGAAGCCCATAAAGTATTTGGGTGCGCCGGCCCATAAACGCTTGGCAGTTAGCACGTTATTCCTCATCCGACGTAAGATCTGGCGTAACGATGACGGGGGACAAGGTTACGAGTTACGAGTCACGAGCTACCAACTCGTGACTCGTGAGTATTTCATTATTGCAACGTCATGTTGACCATGACGCCATTGCTGACAATTATGAGGATCGACGGAATTCAGTCAATTCACATATGCGCCACAAGGGAGTACCACAAACACCCCAGAGCATAACCCAATCGTGTATTGGGAACATCTTCCACTGATAATTTCGGGAGATGTTCCCATTTGTAGGGCGTAGATTTGATCTCGGATTGACGGTGAACTTACTTCATCGGAATGGGATATTCCCGGAAATACTTGGCCAGAATCTCGACGACCTCGCCGCGGTGCAGTACGCTCTCGGCGCAGAGGTACCGTCCACAGGCAGAGGGCATCTCGAAGACCAGTATGTGAGCCAGGGCTACGTCCTTCACGTGCACGTACGCCTGAACGGAGTTGGCATACGTCTTGGCCGAGCCGGTGAGGTACTTGAGTATGTGGATGATGCTGGCGTTCACTGTCGACTGGAGCAACGGGCCCAAAACCAGCACCGGGTTCACCACCACCAGGTCCACCCCTCTCTCCTCCGCCACCGCCCACGCCGCCTGCTCCGCCACCGCTTTACCGTAGCAATACCAATTCTGCCCAACATGCAACCGAGTCAGTTTGAACGTTATCGTGAAAGATAGATGGACGAGATGGTCAATGAGAAGGCCCTCCGACCTTGGTGTTCTTGCAAAACTCGAGGTCGCTCCAGCACGTCTCGTCCACGACCTTGTCCGGGCTTCGATTGGGGTCCATGTAGACAGCTCCGATCGAGGACGTGAAAACCACGCGACGAACTTTGGCTTCTGCCGCCGCGTTAATTACATTTCTGGTTCCGTTCACGGCAGGCTCCACCATTTGCTCCTTCACCGCCACCACCATACCACCAACGTTGTCGTCAGAACACGTTAATTAACAGAGATAAAAGAAAGAGAAGACACAGAATCCCAAGCTTACTGGGTCATCAGTGACAGGGGAGGCAGTGTGGAAAATTCCGTCACATCCATTAATAGCGGCGCGAAGGCTCTCGTAATCGAGAAGGTCGGCTTTGCAGAGAGTCAATCTCTCCTTGGCCCCTTCCAGCTCCCATAGATGAGCGTTCTTCGAGTCGTCTGTAATTAACAAACAAGATACCTAATCATCAAAAGAAATAGAAATTGAGAGATCAACGCAGAAAGAGATCAGACCCAATTGCCCAACCTGGGTTCCTAGCAGTTCCTTTGACGGTATAACCCCTCTCCAAGAGAAGCTTAACAATCCAGGAAGCAATAAAACCTCCCGCACCCGTAACACATACAGTTTGGCCGGAAACTGAAGCACCTTCTACCGGCATCTCGCCTTTTTCCGGCCAAAATGTGTTTGATTAACGAGACGAGGGGTGTATAATATAAAGAGAAGTATGGATGAAGAAAAGGTGATGGGTGACCGGTTGCAGTGGAGACATGTAAATATTTATACGCACAAGAAATGGAGAAAACGTCGACTAACCTAACTAGGGTTAGTGTGTCCCTCTGAGGGAGTTGGTGAGGAAGCAACCATGGTTAATTCTGGTGGTGGTTGACGATTAAAAGACCCAAAATCTCCAAGAAGCGATGGTGACGGAAACTGGATTGTCCCCAGCACGATGGAGTGAAAATGCCAAACGATGAATGGTTTGGTGGACTGGAAAATGACAATTTTTAATCGAAAAAAAATGCAGGAATACATAGGTGGTGGGAATATCTTTGTAGTAGTGAGGTGCTTATTAGTTTTGTAGGACCATGCACTGCACTGAGTTCAGATCGCGCCCCACATGCACATCGTATTGTGTATTGGGAATATCTTTCGTATTTGTTTGTGAGGGAGAGATATTCTCAATATACGGCTGGGATGGGACTTGTGAAACTTGTATGAGGCGCTCATGCGAATTCCCATGCGTCCATAACTTATCTCAATCCCTGCACACCCAACATCCATGGAGATTGGAGACCCATGGTTTTGTGGTAGAATCTGAACAGGATGATTGACCTACACAAACCAGCGTTATGTGTGCTATTGTTCGTTGGATCTTCAGGATCAGCACTTCCCTGGACCCACCATCAATAATTCGCCGTGCCATCTTCAAAAGTGAAGTCTTAATTAACGGCAGTTTCTTCTTGTTCGTCTTCTTCCTCCGACCGTGGAAAATAAATGGTCAAGTAGCTAGTTGGGCGGGAGCAACTTTTAGTCGGGGCGCTGCCACATGCCTAAATGATGGTTGTAATGAATTTGTGTTTGATGTAATTGTTTATTAATACTAATACAAATTATTTATTAGTGTAATGAATTTGTATTAGTACTCTTTTCGCATTGAGCCTAAGTAAGTTCATGATTGAAGGGTCCAAGTAAGTGATGGACCCAAAGCTCCAACAAATGCGAACTCGAATTCATGATTCTAGATGACCTTCTTTTGAACGCAACCTTTTTTATGGAAACATGGTTCATTGATGTAAAGCATAACATGTTGATGGTTATATGTTGTGTCTCACATACTAATATGGCTCTAATTACAATTTCTTTATTTAATAATGACCAAATGAAAGGAGTCCCGAAGGGAGCCACCCATATGGGCTTTTCTTCCTTTAGAGTGACTACTGATAAATTAAAAAAAAAAACAGTGCTTTGGGTTGCCTTACTTGGTGCTTAAGAGTAGCCAAACACTTTGTATGCATTGGAGATTGTGGGATGACACCATTTGATGGTGGTATACCAAGAAGAACACACAATATGACCTGAAATTTGAACAGAAGAATTTAGAGGTCTGCAACAAGGGTTAATATGTACTATGGATCGAAGTAAAAATAATTAAGTAAAAGATTTCAGTAATTGGCTAAAGAAAAGGATGAAAGAAGGTTTGCTTACCAGGAAACCCAAGAGAAGTAAATCATAATGGAAAGACGGTGGTTTCCTCAAATTGAACTCTCTCTATTGAGAAAGTTGGGATGCTACACTGTGGTCAAAATAGTAAAGAACTGCAATCATTGTTGCTGGAATAAAAGCTCCAACTATAAAGAGAATGGGCACATCTAGCATCTCCTGTCAATTTTAAGAACAAATTATCAGTACTAGTTCTTCATAATGGACCAAGATCTGTATGGGCTGCACAAATAGAAAATCAAGAAAAAAACAGCAAGCAATATAAACAAGAACAAATTGTTCCTTTATCAACATTAAAAAAAAAAATCAGGAAATGCAAGGGTGATTTGGACATGCCTTGATTACTGTCCAATTCTCATAGGCGCCTGGTGACCATGGATTTGGGCTGAAGAGGTGCCGAGGGATCCCTCTTGGAACACTACCAGATGGTATGCAGGAAACAGCAGTCCACACTAGAACCATCGATGGCACACCATAGTCTGCTAAGAAGCCTCATAGCGAGCCTGCAAAAGATTTATTTTCATATTTTCTGTAAAGTGGATAAAATCATGTCTGCAAGAGRAGGGCCACCAGTTCTCATTCACAATTGTGTTAAGAACCATGACTTATTGCCGGAATGGATGGACAAGATGCCTCTCTTTCTTTCAGTCAAGTAAGAAGAAGTACTGCTAAAGTTGCTCTAGAACAAGTCAGTTCAAGCATAAACTAAATCCAAAACATGCTTACCAGATCCATATC